AGCAAAAATAAATAAATAAATAAATGGGGCTACTCCTTGGGGGGGGGGAAAGAGAAGATTACTGTCCAGCAACATCCAACTGCAACCCATCGCCCCCCCCATTACCTGATAACTCCGGGCGTGGAGACCCCCAACTTGGCCGCCCAGCGCTGCAGAACCTCCCGCTCCATTCTCCTCCGCGCGGCTTTCTTTTCCCGCGCTGCCGGAAGCCCATTCAGAAAAACCCCTCCCTCGGCCACGCCCCTTTCTCCAACGCCGTTCTTCCTCCTCCCCCGACGTTCTCAGCCCCGCCCACCTTCCTTTTTTATCACGCGCTAAAAAGGAAAGGCGGGGGTAGAGAGGACTCGAAGTCCGAAGGCTGGGGGGGGGAAAAGGAAGCAGGGCTTGGCTTCCGATTGGTCCGTGGCGCCCTACACCTCAGCCGTTCCGCTGTCAGCCGAGCCAATGGGGAAGGCGAAGGGAAAGAGTGGCGGGCGAAGGCGCGCCTAGGAGGGAAGAGGAGGCGGGCGCAGCGGGCGATCACATGACACTAAGGGAGGAGGGGGGGAAACCGAGGTGCAGGGCGTGCGGGCGGTGCGGCCGGGCGAAGGAGGTGCCACCATGGTGAGTGGAGGGAGGAAGGGGGCGACCGGTGGTACGGCCTGTGAGGGGTGGGGGGTTGTCAGAAAAAACCCCGGGATAGGATGGGGGCGTCCGGGCATCACGGCTCCCGAGCGGGGAAGGCTGACGGGCCTGCCCGGCGCGGCTCCTTTGCCTCATGAGGGGGGAAAAAAAAGAAAAGAGAGAGAATTTCTCCTCAGGAACGGCTCCCTTAACGCCAACGCCGCCGCACGGGAGGCCATTCCACTCCCTCCCGGTCTCCCTGTAGACCATGGCTCCCATCATCCCCAGCCGGCAGGGTCGGCAAGGGCAGGAGCAGGGATTTCCTGACAGGGAAAGCCGAGTCACGCGCACGTGAGAAGCCCTACACGCGTGTAATACGGGGAAGAACGGGATGTGTGTGGCGGGGAGGAATGCCAATGGATGGTGGGGCCTGGCTGGGCCCCGTCTGAGGCGGGTGGGGGCAAAGGCCGTTGAGGGGGGGTGTCCTTTTTAGAGGTTTCTATGAAGGGGGGTGTTGTTTGCAGGATATGTTGTGTGTGTGGGGGGGGGCAAAGAGGCGAGTAGTCCTCGACTTACGACCACAACGGAGGTCAATGGGAGGCTGTTGCAAGAAAACCTTTTATCTCCCTGAATGAAAGGCTAATCTAAGGGGTTGTGATGATGATGTTAGTTGTGAAGTCGTGTCCAACCTATCGTGACCCCATGGACAATGTTCCTCCAAGCTGTGATGATGTTGTTAGTTGTGAAGTCGTGTCCGACCCATCGCGACCCCATGGACAACGTTCCTCCAGGCCTTCCTGTCTTCTACCATCCTCTGGAGTCCATTTAAACTCATGCCGACTGCTTCGGTGACTCCATCCAGTCGCCTCATTCTCTAACATCCCCTTCTTTTTTTGCCCTCCATCGTTCCCAGCATGAGGCTCTTCTCCAGGGAGTCCTTCCTTCTCATTAGGTGGCCAAAGTCTTTGAGTTTCCTCTTCAGGATCTGGCCTTCTGAAGAGCAGTCAGGGTTGATCTCCTCTAAGACTGACCGGTTGGATGGCCTTGCAGTCCAAGGGACTCGCAGGAGTCTTCTCCAGCACCAGAGTTCAAAGGCCTCCATTCTTTGGCGCTTAGCCTTTCTCATGATCCAACCTTCACAGCCATCCATTGCCACTGGGAAAACCATCGCCCTGACTAGATGCACTTTTGTTTGCACTTGCAACACGATAAACCAGTTAGGATACGATCCCTTAGCTTGGCCAAGTTAAGCTGTAACATTTCTGTCGCTCAGCGAGACGTTGGTCAAGGGAGTTTTGCCCCATTTTCCTTGCCACAGTTGTTAAGGGAATCACCGCAGGGGATAAATCACTAACCCAGTGAAACCAGTTTCCCCATCGACTTCGCTGGTCGGAAGGTCGCCCAAAAAACGGATCACGTGACCACCACCACCCCCGGGATGCTGCAACGGTCATAAATAAGAACCTGTTGCTAAGCTTTCTGATTTTTGATCGCGTGATGATACTGCCAAGGTTGTAATTCTGAAAAATGGTCATAAGTCACTTTTTTTCAGTTCCATTGTCACTTGAAACAGTCACTAAATGAACTGCTGTAAGGTGAGGACTACCTGTATGGATACGACCACAATTGAGCCCAATGTTTCTGTCGTTAAGTATAACATTGGTTAAGGGAGTCGTGCTCCATTTTGCGACCTTCCTTAACTTCCCACGATAGTTAAGTGAATCGCTGCCATGGTTAAGTTAGTGAAACGGTTGTTCAGTGAATCTGACTTCCCCATTGATGTTGCTTGTTTGAAGGTCACAAAAGAGGATAATGTGAGCCTGAGACACTGCAACCATCATAAATATGAGTCGCCAAATGTCTGAATTTTGATCAACCAACCATGGAGGATGATGCAACGGTCAAAAATGGGAATAATGGTTCCAAGTTCTTTTTTTCAGGGCTGTTGCAACTTTGAGTGGTTACTAAATGAACTAAGTTGAGGACTACCTGTAAAGATGCCCCCCTCCCAACTCTTGACAGCTCACTGACTTCTTCAACCCCCCCCCTCATTCAAACATTTTATATGAAAATTTAATACATACTACTTTAACAATGCTGCCAATAATAATAACAATAATGGATAGTGCTATTGGCCCTTGAAGGGTTATGTTGACCACTTTGAGGAATCTTTCCTTAGACAATATAGTCATTGAGAGCTGACAAGCATTGGACTCTATCCACATTTAATCAATAGTTACATTATTTTTTTAGCTTGCACATGTTGGGGGTCCTCAAGTTACAGCCACAGTTGGGGACAGAGTTTCTGTTGTTAAGCAAGTCAATTGCCCCTGAATGTATGACCTTTTTTAGCCATGGTTATTAAGCGGATCACTGCAATTGTTAAATGAGTCCTGCAATTGTTAAGCATATCCAGTTTCCTCCATTGACTTTGCTTGTTGGAAGTGGGCTGGGAAGATCACAAATGTTGATAACATGTCCCCCGCATGCTGCAGTTGTAAATGTATGCTGGTTGTCAAGTGCCCAAATTTTGACCACATGATCACGGGGATGTTGCAGTGGTCATCAGTGTGAAGACCATAGCACTTCCTGACCTATGTTTTAGAATAAAAATTGATTGGTGTGCCTTCAAGCTGGTGTCAGCTCTTAATTATATAAATCAATATTCCCCATGATGAATTGCCTCTAACCTGATCTTCCAGTGGTGCACCCATCATTGCTCTAACTGGGTCCATCCACTTGGCTGCTAGTCATCCCTTTAGTTTCCCAGCATTACAGCCTTCTCCAAAAAGCGAGGCCTTCACATAATATGCGTCCAAAGTAGGATAATTTGAGCCTGGCCATTTGTGCTTGAGTGAAAATGCTGACTTGATCTAGTTGATTCATTCGTTTGTTTTCTTGGCTGTCCCTGATAATTCCCAGAAGTCTTCTCCAACACAGAATAATCATTTGTTGTTTTTTTTGTTCATATTGGTATTTATATATTGTTCTTCTCCAAAGCTGCTCTGACTGGCATACAACCAGAATAAAGATTTTAAAAACATCAAAGCAGCAGCTTGTATTTTTGCTTCTATATTTTTGGTTTTTGACCATAAAATTTTAAGCAGTACCATTGGGAAGAAATTTAGGATTTTTAATATAAGAACTGATATATAAGCCTGTTTAATGATCCAGTAATAGATATACAAAATTAATAAGTCACAGCAACTTTAAACCAACATTAAAACAAAAGAATCATTTTAATATTTCTTTCTTCTAAACCAGAGAGAGAGAAAAGCATGGAAAACTCAAGTCCTTTTCACGTTCACTATATTTTATGTATTTTTTTTTTTTTTACTTTATTTGTATGCCGCCCTTTTCCCTGGGGGGACTCAGGGCGGCTCACAATTCAAGGGAAGGGAAGAACAGACAAGTTACAAACATGAAGACAATACACCGTTAAAAAGCACAACAGTCATACCATTCGAGTGGGGTTGAAGTCTTTAGCCCCAGGCCTGTCGGAACAGCCAGGTTTTAAGGGCTATGCGGAAGGTCTGGAGGGTGGTGAGGGTACGAATCTCCACGGGGAGTTCGTTCCAGAGGGTCAGAGCAGCCACCGAGAAGGCTCTCCTCCAGGTAGTTGCCAGTCGACATTGGCCGGCTGATGGAATTCCGCCTCAATTGTGTCCCTGATAGAACAAGTTGCTCACTTGTGTTTTTAATACAACTGGTGAGGAGGAATATGGTGTGGGCTGCATGACTCCTTGGCGCCTTTTGCACAGGCTGGCCCTGATAGTCTTATCAGAAAACATTCCTCTCCTTGTTTTCCAGCCAACTACTAGCCAGCAGTCTCCGCAAGATGAGCAAGAGAAGCTTCTGGATGAGGCCATACAGGCTGTTAAGGTGCAGTCTTTCCAAATGAAGCGCTGCTTGGTAAGAACTGGCGGCTTTATTTCTTCTTTTTCTTTCCCCTCACAATGATTAACTCTGTCAATCGGGTAAAGCAGCAACCTGTTCATAGTTTTGTAGTCTTGTGTGTATTTGTCTGAGCATAAGCCACATTGAATGAAGTTTTTTTCTTCTCAGCAAACATCCATTGAGCTGCTCTCTATAACTCATAAATATGCCAGTTGTACAATTGTTTATTACTTAAAAACTTGTTTCCAAAACCTTTTAAATGTAAAATGTTCAATAATGTTTATGTTTAAGTTAAAAAAAAAATGGCTATAGCAACAATCCAAACTCTCAATTCCCCCAAATTTGGGATAGAAATTTTATAAATTTACAAACATATTTCCAGCTTTGTTTTAACGGCTTGAATATTTCAAGAAGTCTAGTAGCAATAATAATCTGAATATCTTTTTTCAGTTGCTCCTTAAAAGGGCTATAATCCTGGTCTCTGTGATTTGTTTGGAAAATAAATTTCTAATTGATAAAGAGAATATGCATATTTCACGTCAGAAAATCGCATATTGTTGTTATCGTTTTGATAGGACAAAAACAAGCTAATGGATGCCCTGAAACATGCCTCGAACATGCTTGGTGAGCTGAGGACTTCAATGTTGTCTCCAAAGAGTTATTATGAATTGTGTATCCTCTTTAATTGGGGCTGGGGCTCATTTAGTTGATAATGCTTCTTAGTGTCTGTGGATGTCTCTCTGGTTGTGGGAAAGTTGCGATGGGAGCTTCACGCATATGTCAAGACCAGCAACCTTTTTTTCTCTTTTTTTTCTTTTTGATCTGTGACTTGCTCATGTTTCTCCATTTGCAGCCGCTGCTTCTGATCCAAACTCCAGCCTTGTCCAACCTAATTCTCGTGTTCTTTAATTAGGTTGGGCATTAGCTCCATTGTTTCCTTCACATCTCCTCCTTTAGGTTCTAAGCGATGGGTTTTTTCCTTGGTATTGAACAAACAATGATCAAAGTTGTGTTGCGTTAATCTGTGATCCTTAATTGCAAGGAAAAGATATGGCCATCTCTGATGAGCTCCACTACCTGGAGGTGTACTTGACGGATGAGTTTGCTAAGGGAAGGAAGGTGGCTGATCTGTATGAGCTGGTTCAGTACGCTGGAAACATCATCCCACGGCTGTAAGTCCATTAAGAATCTCCTGGTCAGACATTCAGTTCTGATGGTTGGCTTTGGCTTTGTGTGTGTGTGTGTGTGTGTGTGTGTGTGTGTTTTATTGAATTGAACAAAATGCTTCCAAACATGGATTCCTGTCCACTTCTGCCTATTGGCATTAACCCACAAGATATAGGTAGTCCTTGACTTATGACTGGTCACTTAACTGCGCAGAGTAGTAATGGACTTCCCCAGGAGTACTTACAAGCCAATTCCAAAGTTAAGACACCCCACCCCCACCTTTACAGCCAATTGCAGTGTCCTACAGCTACGTGACCACATTTAACAACAGTTTTGCAAAACAAGCCCACAGTGAACTTTTTTTTTTTTTTTTTTTTTTTTGCTGATCAACCTTCGCAAAAATGGTTGTGAAATCAGGTTGGGTCACGTGGGTGATCCATTTTACAGCCATCGCAACTTATGACTATGATGAGCAGACTGCACTGTGGTCCCAAATCAAGGACTACCTGTGTGCTGCCTTGTAATCCTTGAAGAAAAGAGAACATTTAAATGACTGTTCAGTCCTTCAGTCAGTTTTAAAAGGGTTAGGGTTATGATGGACTTTTGCTGTAACAGAACTGCTTCTTTGTAGCAGTGATGGCAATATGAATAAAAAATGAAATTGGAAAAAAAACATAGGAAAATAGGTATTTTATTAATATATTTAATACACACATGCTTTCTTCTTAGCAAATTCTAGGTGGCTATTGCTTCAAAAGGGGAAAACATGGAGACAGGAGTTAAAGAAATGAGCCAAAGTTGTGAAATAAACCTCCCTTTGGAGATGAGACTGATCTCCACTTCACAATTTTTTCAACAACTTTTAAAATCTTAGTTGTTTTGTGAAGTTTTTCCTTGCTTTGATGTTGCCATCTTTTTTTTATTTTCTGCTTTTATGATATTCTGCTTTTCTTTAATATTGTCCAGCTCAGGACTGTTGGGTTTTTCGATTGATTTCTGTATATTGTAATCATATTCTTTATGTAAACTGCCAAGAGCCTTCTCTGAATGGTGGTGAGATAACAATACTATTAATAAAATGAATAAGCAAATAAGAAAACCCTTAATCGAACGGAGTGTTGGAATGGAAATTAGCAGCCTGTTTTTACACTAGCCCACTTGTGGGAAGTGAGTCTCGTAATACTGTCTCCCTTATTTCTCAGCTATTTACTAATAACTGTTGGGGTGGTCTACGTGAAGTCTTTCCCTCAATCTCGAAAGGACATCTTAAAAGACTTGGTGGAAATGTGTCGTGGGGTCCAGCATCCTTTAAGAGGCCTGTTCCTTCGCAACTATCTTCTTCAATGCACCCGGAACATTTTGCCTGATGATGGAGAGCAGATAGAGTAAGAGCTTTGAAAGATTGAATATGTGTTAATGCTTTCATCTGTGAGAAACATGTCTCTAATGAGGGGTGGACAGATAGGGCAAACTAGTGGCTCAGTTTGAAGGCCTGGAACAAAGTCACCTGCTGAAGAGTTAGAGGCTCTGTGCCTTCAAGAGGGATGGTTTTGGAATTTGAACATTACAAGATATTTCAAATCCAAACCCTTGAACTTGAAACGCCCTGTTTTGAATTTGAAACGGGGCTTTCTGGAAATCTTTTGAGTGTTGGGAAAATGTGAAACCAGTTGGAAGAAAACAATAGTTCTAAGAACCTAAATGGATGTAATTACGAGTAGATTATAAATGTGTCGAGTTGTGAGTAGGATTAATATGAACATTAAAATAAAATAAAAAAGAGTGAACTAGGTGACCAGTGCTTTTCAGAATTTAAGCAACCTGAGATGGTGGAAATGTATTTTAACTTTCATAACTGATTGAAGTGCAGCTAACTGAATCTTCGCAATTGTGAAAAAGTTGCGGTGGCTCAGCTCAGGTTGCAGTTTTGTTTCCATGGAAAAGACAAAGAGCCCTTCAGCCTGAAAACAATATATTACATACTTTTTTTCCTAATGCAGAATTGGTGTCGGGCTGGATTAATTCCGAGACGATATAAAATCTGAGGTTCAAATCCTATTCCCCAAAGAGAATTATTTTCATGATCCTTTCTCTCTACGGTCGCAAATGCATGCTGTCCCTTGGTTCAAAGACATCCCATCCACTTCCTGGAAATGCGTATTCTTGACATGACTCCCTTTGTTGGCCCACAGCGAAGAAACCACCGGGGACATCAGTGACTCCATGGACTTTGTGCTGTTGAACTTTGCTGAGATGAATAAGCTCTGGGTGCGAATGCAGCACCAAGGGCACAGTCGAGATCGGGAGAAGAGGGAGCGTGAGAGGCAGGAGCTGAGGATCCTGGTGGGAACCAACTTGGTCCGGCTCAGCCAGCTGGAAGGCGTCAACGTAGAGAGATACAAACAGGTGAAATTAACCCCTCTCTTCTCAATTAGTGCATCTTACTTTACTGCACCTCAGTTAGTTTAATTGCTCAGTTAATTACTCAATAATTGCATCTGAATTAGTTTAGCTTATCACTTCTCTAGAAAAAGGCATGTTTAGGTGAGGAAGAAATTCCAGAGTTTGTATTACATGATGAATGACTGTAGGAAGAATGCAGATAACAAACAGTCCTTAACTTAAACAGTTCTGTCAGGGTTCCAAGTAACATACCCATAGCAAACAAAACTCTTAGGCAGGCAAATTCCTCAAAGAATAGGTTTATTGGATATGTCATATTGGCACAAGCTGGTGAAAGTCAGCTCTGAATATTTCCCATGGTTTTCATTAATTAAAAGGGGGAAAAAATCACTTTCTCAAAACAGTCACATGGTCCAATCAGGAGGCTATCCAGTTGCTAGATGACTCCAGTTCCCTCCTCCTGAGCACCTGCAGGAATGTCCTTGGTTCCCACGAGAAAATATTTTGTTTTGGCTACAACCCCCCAACTCTCTATTTCCCCCTCCCTATCCCTCTTCCCTGCTGTGTCAGCTCTGAAATCTCAAAATTGCCTCAGTCAGGCCAGCTTCAGGGTTGACAGATTCATTTAGTGACCGTTCAAAGTTACAACAGCACTGAAAAAGGTGACTTGTGTCCATTTTTCACACTTATGACCTTTGTAGCATCCCTATGATCATGTGACCAAGATTCAGATGCTTGGCAAGTGGCTCATACTTACGACCCTTGCTGTGTCCCAAGGTTATTGTGATGACCTTTTGAGACCTTCAGAAAAGCTGCATCAATGGAGAAGCCAGATTCACTTGAAACCAGGTTACTAACTAATCAACTGCAGTGATTCATCTTAACAACTGTAGCAAGAAAGATCATAAAATGGGGCAAAACTCACTTAACAAACGTCTCATTTAGCAACAGAAATTTTAGGCTCAGTTGTGGTTGTAAATCTCATTTTCCCCCCCTCTGTTTTCCAGATTGTCTTACCTGGCATATTGGAACAAGTAGTTAACTGCAGGGATGCGCTAGCTCAAGAATACCTAATGGAATGCATCATACAGGTAACATGGCTTAAGGGAAGGTTAATTGGCAGGTCAGTACGGAGGATCTGATAGGCTGGAAAAGAAAGCCAATCATGAGAAGGCCACAGTGCCGTTCTTGAGCTAGCAGAATCAGTACAAGAATGGATGTGTTTGGCTTTTTTTTTTTTTTTTAAGATCTAAATGAGCTTCCAAAAACCTTTGTGTATGGATCGTGTTCAACAACATGGTGTATGGTTTTTTTATGTTGTTTATTTAAATCTTACGATGACCATATTTTATGTCAGTTGGTTATTTGGTTTTAGAGACAGGGAATCTGTTGTTTTAGCTTTAGTTTTTATTATTTTAACCGTCCTGCAATCTTGACAGCTGGGGGACTATATAAATAACAAATAAGCAGAAATTGGCTGAGTTTATACAAGTTACTAAGTTGAAATGGAGCAAATATTCTACCATGCTTTAGCACAATGATCAAAGGTCTGTTTACTAAACAACCTAGAATAATAATTGATCTAATTCTCCATCATGTCCTCCCGTGTCTTAGGTTTTCCCAGATGAATTTCACCTCCAGACTTTGAATCCTTTCCTTCGAGCGTGTGCGGAATTACACCAAAATGCGAATGTCAAAAATATTATAATTGCATTAATTGACAGGTACGTAATGAAGCAAACATTATAAACACTGTGCTGGAGCAAAGGAGAGGGGGAATCTTAGGCCCTCATCCAGAAGGTTTAGAATATCTATCTATGTATCTTTCTATGTGTCTGTCTGTCTGTCTGTCTGTCTGTCTGTCTATCTATCTATCTATCTATCTATCTATCTATCTATCTATCTATCTATCTATCTATCTATCTATCTATCTCTATGTTGAGAGAGAGAGTTTGGATAGGAAAACTGAAGGAAAAATTAATAGATTGAACAGAAGAAGTGATAGTGTTAGTAGGTCCACATAGAAGGAAAAGATGAATTAGTAAATACAAAATGTAAATTTGAAAAGTGTTACATCCTGAGGTGTCCCATGCTTGAAATAGAAATGTCAAACTACTTTTGACCAGTTTCAAATTCAGTATATTTCATATTACCTTACGGCAAAGAAGCAAAATATGCATTTTGGGGGAATAACTTGAGAATTTGAAATTGGAAGCAGCTAATTGCCCCCAAAATGAACAGACAAGGATATTCTCAAGGATGCAGGTTGTGAACCATGAGGACTAGTAACATGATTAAGGTAGATATGTGGAGCTTTGGTGTGAAATACAAAGGCTTGATTTCACACTGATTTGTACTGGATGCCAACTAAGTCCTTTCCTATAGATTTTTGGGCACAGCTCTTGTCTCCCATCATATTTTTGGAGACATGTGAACAAATATTTTGTATCGCCAACATTTTCCTTCCTCCCACCTTCCTTGTGATATTGGTTTTTTTTTCTTCCAAATAGCAATTTATGCCGGCATATGTTCAGAAAACTACAATATTTGCATATACTTGGTATATGTATGTTTGTAAATGTACATTTTAAAATAAACATTTGTAGAAGCTAGTTGTTCACTGTCTGTACGAGAGATGTATGTAAATCAGCTTTCTGGAATGAGCTTAAAGTGCCATTTTTGTTTGTATAGAGCTGTGAATAGAGGATTTCTCTGAAATGTAGTTTTAGGTAGTTTTCAAAGCTTGTTATATCATGTAGAGCAAGCATTTTTTTTAATCCTTCTCCCCACCGTTACATTTGACATATTTTTCACAGCAGTAAATAGTGAAAGATGTGGGTGCTGATAGGATCCCCCCCCCTTTGTTTAGCTACTTTATACTGTGGGCAGACTGATTATGCAAATTGGCTGTGATTCATTTCATCAGTTTGGACCGTGAAATCATTTCAGAGATGTGTCCAAAATCTTTTCTGAATTGTCCTATCAATTCGAAGGGCATTTGATGATTTGATTTAAAGTGTCATTTGCAAAGGATTTGATTTGGACATTAAGTCAAATTGTCTTTAAACAGAATCCTTGAATTAGACGTTTGTCCAACTCTTACGATGACTAGGAATCCCCCTCCTCTTCTTCCTCCTCCTCTCTCCCGCCTAGCTCATATTTAATTCTTATCTGGTGGTAACCATCTGCTGGTGAAAAGCTGTTCCATCTGTTTGTGATTTCCAGAAAAAACAATCCTTACTAGTTTGCCTTTCCTAATTGCTTTCCCGGTTTTTGGAAGAGATTTGGGAGCATCATAAGGGAAAGGTGGAATTAGCCATTGTGTTAATAAAAGCCAATTTGGGTCAAATAATAGTTTATTATGTTTGTCTGGCTTCTTGGGCACATTCTGTGGTCAAGGGATGTGAGTGTGATGGTGTGTGTGGGATGAAATGTATTTAGCCGGGGAAGGATTTCATGCATGCCAACCTGAATTCCATGATGGGAGAAGAGCAGGGTGTGGATCTGACGGGTAAGGAGATTGGGGACATGTCCCATTTTTCTCCCAAGAGAAATCAAACACTGACTGCAAATACCTTGATTTGGACAGCATAATTGCCTATTAGACAACTTTGCAAGCTGCATCTCATATGTCTTGTTCTATCTACAGACTTGCACTCTTTGCCCACCGAGAGGATGGACCAGGGATCCCAGCGGATATTAAACTCTTCGACATTTTCTCCCAGCAGGTGGCTACAGTCATACAGGTAACTGGAAAATGATTGAACTTTATCTCGTGTTGCTTATCATAAATGTGTTTGCTGGGTTATGTCCTTGAATCTGATCACCTGGCAATCCAAGAGAAAAAATATTGTTTGTTACAGGCCCTGTGAAGTAGCAGAAAAACCTGGCTGACATAGAGTGCTGACACACACACACCCTTTCATGTTGCCTTAATCTCTAGAAAAAATGGAGAAGTATAGGTTGTAATAATATGCTTCAATTTTTTTTCAATCAGAAGTGCAGGGTATTAACAGGGACATATGTTTGCAGTGAAAGTCTTGGAGCATTTTCTAATTCTGGGTTATAAATTAAAAGAAGACCAGGGTGTTCATTGCCTAAAGAATCTGTTAGAAAGGCACATAATAATAGCAACAGCACTTAGATTTATGCATCGCTTTACAGCCCCCTCTAAGCCATTTAGAGAGTCAGCCTCTTGCCCCCAACAATCTGGGTCCTCATTTTACCCACCTTGGAAGGATGGAAGGCTGCGTCAACCTTGAAGCCTGGTGGGATTCGAACTGCCAAATTGCAGGCAGGCAGCAGAAGTAGCCCACAGTCCTGCACTCTAACCACTGCGCCACAATGGCTCATAGCTATTCATTTCTTAGCTGTGACTTTGTATGCTGACAGAACTGCCTTCACAAACTGCTTATTATTTCCATCGCCTCTGCAATCAACAGACTTTCAAGAAGTAGAGAGATTTCAACTTGCCTGGGATTTGAATTTTAATTGAGTATATCATCTTTGGCAAAGTTAGCATGCCACTAAAGCCTTGACCCATTGGAAATTGGTTTATCTCAATACTGTGAGCATTGCAGATCGGCAATTTCAGGATTTTAGGCTGGAGTTTTTCCCCAGTCATGCCTTTAAATGTTAAAAGTTTGAACGTGAGATCTTTTGTATGCAAAGGAAGCATCTACTCCCACTGTAAAATAAGAGCAAAGGTGAATCTTCTAGAAACCCAGTCTAGCTAAAACTAAGTGCTTCTTTGACTGTTTCAGGTCAGGATAAGTGACTACTGGTAGTCCTCGACTTACAACAATTCTTTATTGATTGTTCAAAGTTACAACATTACTGAAAATGACCATTTTTCACACTTACAACCATTGCAGCATCCCCATGATCATTTGATCAAAATTCAGACTCTTGTCAACTGCCTCACATTTATAACCATTGTGATCCCTTTTTGTGACCTTTCTAACAAGCAAACGTCAATCAATAAACCAAATTTGCTTAACAACTCTGTCACTAACTTAACAACTGCAATGATTCACTTAACCGCTGTGACAAGAAAAGTTGTAAAATGAGGCAAAATTCACTGGGCAAATGTCTCGCTTAGCAACATAAATTTTGGGTTCAATTGTGGGCGTAAGTCAAGGACCACCTGTACTTGAGTTTGGTCGTGGGCCATAAAAAGCAAAATGCGATGTTCATAATTAGAAATATCCTTCCTGTTACCTCTAATTCCCAAATGCTCTTCTTTCGCTTCCATTGTTGACCATCCAACCTTCAGTCTAGGCAAGATATGCCTTCGGAGGACGTGGTGTCATTACAAGTCTCGCTCATTAACTTGGCCATGAAGTGCTACCCAGACCGCGTGGACTATGTGGACAAAGTGCTGGAGACAACAGTGGAGATTTTCAACAAGCTTAACCTGGAGCAGTAAGTTGATGTGAATTTCATGGCCTTGTGTGGAAAAAAAACCCCTCTTGGATGGAGAAACAAATTCCTGCATTGTTTGATACTCCAAATTTTGAATTTGAATTTTAATAGATTTCTATGCCGCCCAATCCCGAAGGACTCTGGGCGGCTTACATAAAAACAATTAAAAGATTAAAAAGTTTAAAAACACAAAACAATACAATTTAAAACAGGAAAACACAACTCGCACTCAGTTATAATGGGGCTGAAGTTCAGTCAAGCTCAACAGTCCCAGGCCTGCTGAAACAGCCAGGTCTTAACAGACTTAAGGCCAGGAGAGTGGGGAGGGTCCGGCTCTCAGGGGGTAGCTCGTTCCAAAGGGCCGGGGCAGCAACAGAGAAGGCTCTCCCCCGGGGAGCTGCCAGACGACATTGTGTAGCTGACGGTACCCGGAGAAGGCCCGCCGTGTGCGATCTTATTGGGCACTGGGAGGTATGTTGCAGGAGGCGGTCACAGAGATATCCAGGTCCTATGAAGTGCCTTTACCTGGTCTATGACAGAATTGAAGGGGCCTGGCTTTGGGGGTGATGGAGATTGATTTCTGCCAGTTCTGACTTTTCTAAAGATTTTCCCCGTAAATGTTGTGGCCCGCAGAGCTGGCAGCAGATTCAGACAGTGAAGAGGTTGGGGAGGAACATGGGCCAGTCCTGGAGTCTGGGGAAGGGCTCTGTGTTGGAGATGGGGCCAGGGCCGTCCGACAGATAACAGCTGCCTTCAGAGTCAGACATCAGTTTGGGCAGACGAACAGCTGGAGCCTGTTCCCAGTGTGTGCATGCGCAGAGTTGCCAGGCGAAGGGAACAGCTAAAGAACAGGGGTCGACTTGGGATTAAGGCCACAGGTGGACAATGATTGGCCCCTCCCAGAGGAAATAAAGGAGGAGCGAAAGGGGAGTGGAGTTTGCAGGAGACAATTAGTTCACTTAATTGATTCGTGACTCTCTGAGACTCCTTGCCAAGTTTGGCAGACATTGGCCTGGCAGCTCTCTAAGCCAGATAAGGTCTGTGACTGCAAATCTTTCCTTGAAAGACTTTGCTGGATGTGAATGAGCAGAATTTACAGTAAATTAATAAAAGGGGTTTTTGTTGAGACAAGGAGTTTGCTCCATTCTCTTGGGAAGCCTCGGTCAGAACAGTAAATTAAAAACTGGAGACCCTCATGCATCACCCTCTTTTGTCCTTTCAGCATTGCAACCAGCAGCGCAGTTTCCAAGGAGCTGATGAGACTCTTGAAGATCCCTGTTGATACCTACAACAACGTCCTCACTGTCCTGAAACTGAAGCATTTCCATCCTTTGTTCGAGTACTTCGACTATGAGTCCAGAAAGACCATGAGTTGTTACGTGCTTAGCAACGTGCTGGATTACAACACAGAAATTATCTCCCAAGACCAGGTAGGGCAATCACAGGAACGAGCGTCCATCTCAGGGTTCCAAATAGCATCCTCCATAAAATAAGAATCCGAGGCTAGAGTTTCCTCAAATTCCAATTTATTAGAAGAGCCATGTTGGCACATCTGGGAAAACCCGAATTCTGAAAGCTTCCAGGTTTCCCCCACCTAGTTGAAAGTTCAAAACCCTGCCCCAGCACCCACATGTCCATCACATGTTCCAATCAGACAGTGTCACGAAGGAAGATTCCTCCCATCCAAGTCGGTCCAGATGCAGGGGCAAAACGACCTTGACTCTCTGAGGAAGAATGTTATTTTGGCTACATATCTCCCATACGCCATACAATCCCCCCCCCCCCCAGTTTCCCACAGTAGAATATGTTTGAATATGTGGCAGGCTTGAGGCCCACTGTAAAAGATTGCTTCGAGGCCCGACAGTCCATTTGTATGATTTAAGGGAAAAGGGATGGGGATGGTTATGGTTCTCAAAGGAAGCTAGAAGGGAATGCAACAGCATGCTGAAAAACGGTCATCAATAAAACAAATTAGCAATAGCAATAACACTTAGACTTATATACTGGTCCATAGGGTTTTATGGCACCCTCTGGGCAGTTTACAAATGTCCGCCTATTGCCCCCAACACTCTGGGTCCTCATTTTACCAACCTTGAACGGTTGGAAGGCTGAGTCAACCTTGAGCCCTGTCAGGATCGAATTTCTGGCTGTGGGCAGAGTTTGCCTGCAATGCTCATCCTAACCACAGCTCCTAACAAATTGCTGTAAAGCAACAGCTCAAAACAGAGTTCATTGAAATAGGGTTGGAAGTTCTTCTGAATTCTAAAAATTGCCTTTCCAAGCCTATTGCCCAGAATTCATTGCAGCTGCAGTCCCTGGAGTGGTTGGCATGACAGGAAACGGAATGAGTAAATGGAGGCCTGCTAGCAGTTCCTAGCCATACCGGCATGAGTTCCTTTTCTTTAAGAGCCATCCTTGACCTGGATGTGGTTTGCCTTCTGTAGGTAGATGCCATCATGAATCTGGTTTCAACGCTAATTCAGGACCAGCCAGACCAGCCGGCAGAAGATCCAGACCCTGAAGACATGGCTGACGAACAGGGTCTTGTAGGCAGGTTTATCCACCTGCTTCGTTCAGACGATCCCAATCAGCAGTATCTGGTATGGAGGCCTTCCGAGGCATTTGGGTCTTCCTTCCATAACTGAATGGTTACCACAGGGGCTAGAATTCCTTTTATTTCATCTCTGGCCATTAAGATAGTTGGAATCCAGCACACCGAAGTGAATCAAGTTTGAGGTAGCCAGAATGAAATTCAGTACATTGAGTGACCATATGCGATTGTTGGTCTGCTTCCATCTTTGGTACTAAGTCATTATTTGTTTTAACCAGAATTTGTAGGCCCAGCGTTAACTAGATGAACTTATCTAATAGCGTACATTACAAATCTTGAATTGTTTTGTCCAAGCTTTATATAGGAACTCTAGGTAGGTAGGTATTTATTATCCTCGACCCCCCCACCCAGCAAAATCCATCCATCTAATTCATTCACTGCCCATTTCAGGTAACTGTTCACAGCTTCTGAGACCATGTTGGTTTGTGCATACCCCCCCCCAAAAAAGTCGAAAAGTGTGAAAGTGTGAAACTTGACCTCCCTTTTCTAGTGATTTGTAGTCAATTTCCCCCCTTTAAAAGACAGTTTTCTAATTTGTAAGTTAGGTTATTCCTTCGTGATATGTTATGATATTCAGCGCATATATCAACATGGGAATCTTTGCATATTTTAGATTTTAAATACCGCGCGGAAGCACTTCGGTGCTGGTGGGAACCAGCGCATCCGTTACACGTTGCCGCCATTGGTGTTTGCTGCGTATCAACTCGCATTTCGCTATAAGGAGAATGAGAAAGTGGTGAGTGCATCTGCACGTGATACGTTTTGCTTCAATGGCAACTTAAGCTAAAAGGGATTGGTTGGAAATTGCAGAATAGAAAAGAAAGAAATGGCAAATTTTATGAATCTGGGGCTGTTAGAAAGTTTTGACCAATGAGAGGGAATAAATTAAGTCCAGGCCCTTAAATTTGGAATACGCAATAAGGAATAAATTGGCTGAAAGTAATCTCTAAGGCCATGGTGATAAACCTATGCCATGTGGGCCAGAAGCAGCACACAGAGGCATCCTGTGCAGGACGCGCGGCCTTGCTGGCTCTTGTTCCACATTCCTATGCACATATGTGCGTCAGTCAGATGGCCTTCACATGCGTGGAAGCATCAGAAGAGCAGTATTCCGACATGCTTGCGTGCGCTGGCGCCCAAGCCTCTGGGTTTCCATTGTGCACATGCACAACGGCCAGCTGTTCATCGGGCGTGCACCTGAAACCAGAGGTTCGGGTGCCGGTGCGCATATGTGCCAGAACGCTGCTCTTCTGGGTTTTAGCGCTGCTGCGCGTGCAAATCCTAGCGAGGCTGCATGGTCCAGGCGAGATGGTTTTGTGTGCCATTTCCGACACACGGTGACATAAAAGGTTAGCCATCACCGCTTTAAGCCATTGTTTGCCAATCTTGTCAACTTCAAATTGTGTGGACTTCAACTCTCAAAATTTTCCAGGCAGGAAATTCTGGGAATTGAAGTCACCCATCTTAAATGGATTGGCAAATACTTATTTGGATCTGGCTGGACTGGATAGTATAAAACCTTAAACTGTATATTGGGAAAAAGAAAGAGGTTATTTATTAAATGACATTTTTAGTTTTACGTGGTCACACACCTGTTTTTTCAGATCTAGATAGAGTTTGATATGAAATTCTAAATAGAAGAATGCAGATTTTGTTCTTTCCTATCTGGGGTGACTTCTGATTTGTTCCCTTTCCCCCAGGATGACAAATGGGAAAAGAAATGCCAGAAGATCTTCACTTTTGCTCACCAGACCATCAGCGCTTTGATTAAAGCCGAGCTGGCGGAACTTCCTCTCCGTCTCTTCCTTCAGGGAGCTTTAGCCGCTGGAGAAATTGGCTTTGAGAACCATGAAACTGTGGCCTATGAATTCATGTCTCAGGTGAGGTCCAGAAGACCTTTTTCTTTCTTGAGGCCCCCTCCCCTCTTTTATTTCTCCTTGAAATATTTCTGATCGCCATCGAGAGAACAGCAAAAATACCCTTGTTACAACAATCGAGATGATTTCTACTAGTTGCTGAAATTCTTGTTTTTTTAAACTTTCAGAGGAATAAAAAAGACAGTGCATAACACTTCTGTTTTTCTGTCTGTCTGTCTGTCTCTCTCTCTCTCCTGTTTCCTCTGCCCGTATTTCTTGTCTGAATCAGGCATTTTCTCTCTATGAAGATGAAATCAGTGATTCAAAAGCCCAGCTGGCTGCAATCACGCTGATAATTGGGACATTTGAGCGGATGAAGTGCTTTGGCGAGGAGAACCACGAACCTTTGAGAACTCAGTGCGCACTGGCGGCTTCAAAATTGCTGAAGAAGCCAGATCAGTGCCGAGCCGTGAGCACCTGCGCCCATCTTTTCTGGTCTGGCCGGAACACAGACAAGAATGGAGAAGAGGTAAGGCCAGTCCAAGACTTGAGGAAATGGTGTTCTGTAACGGACTGTGAGAATAACCTTGAGAGATGGAGGAAACAGACAACAGATAAGAGTTATCTTAGCCCACATAAGGCATTGAGGTGGGAAAAGTATCTCAGGAAGGACCCTCCCTAGTTCTTTGGAAAGTAAAGGCAGGGGAAGGGGGTAAGTACTTTCAGCCTGGAAACATGATGTTCCTGTATTATCATAATCAAGGTAGAATTTGATTCTTGGTTTTGATTTTCTAGTCTGGACTATTTTGGAGGGAATGCTGGCTGGGGAATTCTGGAATTTAAAGTCCACATATCTTGTTAAATTTGGAAAACACTGTTTAATGAGAAATTCAGCCTTGGCATATCTTGGCAGGGTTCTGGAGGGATTCCAGATTCTGCTTGGTGTATCAGAGGTGCAAATGGATTGCATTTTCTTAGGAGTTTTGTGAATTCATCCTTCCTAAATTGGCTAAATGGACATGTTAGTCATGCAGCTTACATTTGGGGAAAACCATTAGGTAATTGTGCTGATGTGGGGAGTGCTAATCCCCTCTTTTTCCTTGTCTTGTCTCTCAGCTCCATGGAGGCAAGAGGGTCATGGAATGCTTGAAAAAGGCGCTGAAGATAGCCAACCAATGCATGGATCCCTCCCTGCAAGTGCAGCTCTTCATAGAAATTTTAAACAGATATATCTACTTTTATGAAAAAGAGAACGAGACGGTAAGGAGCAGCCCGTTGTGTTTCGTGCGGAGGTACAAAATCTGCCCCCCTTCCATCACCCTCAAGATCTCTCCAAAATTTCCATCAAAATGAGAACTTTAATGAGACCTTTAATGAGACCAAAAAGAAGGAAACTTCTTCTCCATTCTCCATCCAACCACAAAAGGAGGCAATCCTTTCTGACTTGAATTAAAATTACTGGTAGTCCTCGACTTACAACAATTCATTTAGTGATCGTACGAAGTTGCAACAGCATTGAAAAAAGCGACTTGTGATTTTTCATGCTTACAACCATTATGACATCCCCATGGTCATGTGATCAAAATTCAGGTGCTTGGCCACTGACTCATACTTATGACGGTTGCACTGTCTCAAGGGGGGGGGGCATGCGGTTACTTTTTGCAACCTTCTTGAGAAGCAGAACTCAATGGGATTCACGTAAAAACTGCAATGATTTAATAAATACGGCATGAAATGTCATAAAATGAGGCAAAACTCAACTAATGTCTCATTTAGCAACAAAAATTGTGGGCTCAATAATGGTCATACGTCAAGGACTACCTATAATTTTCTAATGATCTCTTACAATGTAAGAGTGCTCGACAGAGGCTAAATTCAGATTTGGAGCTTCCTTCGGAGAATCCCTTCTTTGTCTGAAGCCCAGTTGTTTTGCACAGCAGCGCAACCTTGTCTTAAGAGGTCAGACTACATGTTACACTTAGTCTGTGGTCCTTTACTTCTCTGCAGAGCACTGGGAAATAGCAGGGAGGGAGGCCGAGGATCTCATTTCCCAACAGCTTTTCTACCATCGGAGTGCGCCCAATATACAGTGCATAACTGAAGTTGAACGAGAAAAAAGAGAGCATAGGTTAGCTAATGTGAAAGAGATTAAGCAAGTTACAAAGTGGTGGAGCATCATTATGGCCACAGGTGCCTTGTTTTCTTGAATCTTCACAACCATCTTGAGATCTTCTCTGCTTTCCTCTCTACAGTTAAATTGCTAAACTCTGATCTGAGATCAGCCATTGGGCGAGTGGGCCACTGAAAAATCCTGCCAACCTCTAGTTTCAAGGGTTGCAGTCCCACATTTCGTTGCCACTGTATGATTTGCTTCTTTCTCAGTTGTTGCTCAGCAACAACTCCCTGCAGCCTCAGTCAGCGTGGAAAAGGATGAGGGATGATGGGAGATGTTGTCCAGCAACGTCACGGTGGCCTTGGCAACAAACCAGATCATGCATTGTGTAAACTTGGTCTGTTTGACACTCTTCTCTCTTCTAAACCTAGGTGACAATTCAGGTGTTGAATCAGCTCATTCAAAAAATCCGGGAAGACCTTCCTAATCTCGAATCGACCGAGGAGACAGAACAGATCAACAAACATTTTCAGAACACACTGGAGCATTTGCGTTTGAGGAGGGAATCCCCCGAATCTGAGGGGCCAATTTATGAAGGGCTGGTCATTTAAACAAAAGACACCCGCACTCACCCACCCATCCACCCATCCCGGTCCCATCCTGTGGGCGCTTGTCCCTCTGTCTTTCCATGTACAACACACATGGCATTTTGTTGTTCATTATCATTCTTCTTGCATTAGAGATCATAGACTTTTGTGCCTTTTGGGAGTGCCAACAATAGGCTTTCGGTTCACTCTTCTTCTCTTGTGCGTGCGTGCGTGTGAATGTGTGAATATGTTCCAGGCTGCTGCTTCCAAGCATTTGGGATTTAAGTATTCCTGTCAGAATTTCCAAGGTATGGACTAGCAGACCAATAGAAAATTAGCATGACTGAATCCGTTCTTCTAAAAATTCCACATGGTTGTACATCTCTCCCCTCCCCCTCCCCCCTTGTCTTCTTTTTCTCTCCTGCTCTTCTGTCCTCACATTTCCGCCCAAAAGCCATATAATCTCTAATCCACTTTTTCATCTGCAAGTGTTACTAAGGCTGTGGACTATTTTTTTTTTAAATAATGTTTCATTTTCTTGTCTGTCAGATTTCGCTTTCTCTCTCTCTTTTTTTTTCCATATTTGTCAGAGTTCTGTCAGATTCCCCCCAGCCCAAATATCTTCATGCATGTATTTGGAGTTATAAAGCACCATTCTTTTAAAAAAAGGAAAGAAATTAAACCAAGAAAGTTATATTTTGCATATGGGGACTCAAGTGACATACAGTGAGGGTTCAGTATAGTACACAGGGCATATTTATCAAGATAATAGTAAGAAAATTCAAATCAGACGGTGGTCTATAGAGTATATAACCTTCAGTACTGTCAAATTAGGGGGAAATGCAATCTGTATCCTTAATTTGTGCCAGTATAACAATAAAGTTGCTATTAATGGATATGGCCTCAACTATCTCCTGTTGCATTTAATGATCATTCTAGCTCTTTTTTAAAAAGACACTGCAATTGATGATTGTATTAAGAGCGCTGGTCGTTGTGGTCTGCCAGTGGCCAGCAGAGCTGGCAGCAGATTCGGACACTGAGGAGGTTGAGGAGGAACATGGGCCAGTCCCGGAATCTGGGGAAGGCTCTGATGATGGCTCTGGGTTGGAGGCAGAGAGGGAGCCAGGGCCGTCTGACAGTTATCAGCTGCCTTCGGAGTCAGACATCAGCGAAGCCTTATCCCAGTGTGCACATGTGCAGAGTTGCCAGAAGAAGGGAACAGCTAAAGAACAGGGGTCAGCTTGGGAGAAAGGCCACAGATAGACGATGAATGGCCCTTCCCAGAGGAAATAAAAGAGGAGCGAAAGGGGAGTGGAGTTTGCAGGAGAGAATTAGTTCGCTTAATTGGTTCATGACTCTCCGAGACTCCTTGCCAAGTTCTGCAGAGATCGGCCTGGCAGCTCTCCAAGCCAGATAAGATCTGTGACTGTAAATCCTCCCTTGAAAGATTTTGCTGGATGTGAATGAGCAGAATTCACAGTAAATTAATAAAATGGTTTTTTGTCAGGACGAAGAGTTTGCTTCATGCTTTCGGGAAGCCTCGGTCAGAACACCACAGCTGTTTTCAAATGGGTGAAGCTATGCATTCAATCGTTACGGCTTGGTGTATTGAGTGGAGATTGCCTGATGAAGCCCGTCTTATTTTTTGACCCAACTTTTGCAGAAGGTTTGTTTACAAGTAGGACGGTGTGTTGCCTCAGCAGTTAAGACGCTGGGCTTGTAGGCTGGAAAGCCGGCAGCCCACATTCGAGACTCGAGCTCTATGTGACGGGGTGAGCGCCCATCCTCGCCTCCGCTCCTGCCAACCTAGCAGTTCGAAAGCATGCAAATGCGAGTAGATAAATAGGTACCACTTTAGTGGGAAGTAACCGCTCTCTGCGACGTCACGCTGGCCACATGGCCATGAAATGTCTTCGGACAGTGCTGACTCAATGGCCTTAAAATGGAGATGAGCATGAATAAAGTCTGCAGGAGCCACCTGTACCTTTTACCTTTGCTTAGGAGTGGCATTTTGCCAAGTGGAATTGGAATAATTCCTTGGAACTGAGTAATCCTTGGGAAAACATCACTGCGCATGAGCAAGGCCACAGACTAGTACATCTAGCAAGAGATGCTCCATTGCACTGTGTTTTCTGCAATATAAAGTGGACAAGTAATTCTTTTTAAAAAATCCACATCAGTGCAAAACGAAACTCCCTTTTTAAAAAATTTGCAATTACTTCAACACAAGTGTACAAATGTCCTCTAGTTAAATTGCTTTATCAGAATTACATTGTTTCTTAAGAATGAGGACTCGGTTGGGAATTTACAAAGCGTGTTGAGCTTAGGTACCGGAGAATAAATTAGTCCTCATTTGCATACACAAGCACTGCAAAGTACTGCAAATTTCTTGCATTTTCCGAAATCAAGGTTGAGCTTTCTCTAATTCATTTTTGCCCAAAAGATGTAGAAATCTAAATCTCTCAGGATCGAACATTTGAATTTGCCTTTCCTACTTGGAAGGATAAGTTCGTGTTCAGTGATTCTACGTCAAAGGTACCTATGCAGAAACGTCTCCTCACTATTGTCTCTCACGTAAAAACATTAGGGTGGATTTTTGCCTTGGCCGGGCAGAGCAATTTCAGAAAGGCTTTTCTGAAACTGATGTGGCACAAAGGATATAATACGGGATTAATAGCTGAATTCAACCACAGCAGCCAAAACGATACTTCATAGAGGTCATGGTGGATGCATCTCCCGTGACAAACTGCTCTGATGATCATTAGAAGAGTGTAGGGTGCCCAACATACAGCAAAGATGCAGACGACAATGGCTAAAGATTTGGCTATTTTCTTATCTCGGGAAAGCCTAAACCGGCTAGCTGCAGTATTGGCCACCTCTGCTTCCCGCATGGTGCCAGATAGGTTCTCCAGAGCTTTGTAGACGCCGTCCCACGGTGATTTGGTTTGGATGTCTACCTGCCAAGGTGGAAAGTCTTGATTGATGTTAAGCTCCACTGAGGGAGTCTGGAGGTCATGGGTGCCGAGCTTCCCCACCGCAGGTTTGCTACGGGTCAAGCTGCTTACCTTTTCGTTCCTCTTGTTCTCTCTTTTTGTGAAAGCTACGACGTGCTCTCGTTTCTTCCTGCAGCAAAAACGTTCGCAGTCCTTTCGGGCTTCTGAGGAGCTCTCGCTTCTGACCGGTGTCCGCTTGCGAATGTTGAAATAGATGCGCAAGTTGAAGTAGGTGACACTGATGAACGGCGTGAAGAACTCAATGGTGGAGGCGATCATGAGGAAGTACCAGTTGTAGTGGAACTCAGCATAGCACTTGTTCTCAGGGATGATGCTCTGCTGGGCTATATACTCCCAGCTGATAATGGCTGGACCATAGAGGAGAAATGCTGCAATCCACACCATAACCATCTTCGCCGCTGTGCTTTTGGTCATCCCTTTCTGAACTCTGTAGCTCACCTAGAAGAAAATGTAGATTTCAAGCTCAGGAAAACAGAAGCCCAAGCAATTCAAATGAATATACCGGTTTATTGTACGCGAATGCTCTCTACAAGTATCTGAACTACTAATGGTCAAGTCAAATTGGCAGTAGATAAAGAGTCAACAGAATTCAAGGTGGACTTAGATCTCTTGTGGGCGTGAAGGGGCTTGAGGTGGCATGTTTGACTCCTCCCTCAGGCTCATCTTGGTCATCTACAACAGGTAAAAATCTGATTTATTATGAAAAGCTTGTTTATCAGATGGAAAACTCTAAGGAACAACTGTTTCCATGGCTGGTGGCCAAGCACAAGCTTTCACTCTTGGACTTTCACAGTTAAACCTCTTCCTCCTGTGTTGGATCATCATGCTAAGTTGTAAACCTAGTTTCACATAGTCTATACCAAGCTATGCTTTGCTTTGCCACACTTGTTCAATAAAGCACAATTACCATTGTTTTCGTCACATGCTACCCTAAAACAGAGATTTACGTAGCTGGTTTCCCACAATTTAGGAAATTGTGCCAAGAAATCCAATCTTTAGTGTGATGTGTGAATACAACATGCGGTTTGCCTGTTGACAACTGTAGTTTTTGAGACTATGCCATGCGTCTTATTCTGAATGCGTTGCGTGTATCTATGGAGTTGGAGTGGATTTAAAAAGCCATTGTTAAGCAGATGCTGTATGGCTTCACGTGTAGAAAAGTTCAATGTTTCCCTTTAGTGTGATGTTGAGGAAAGTTTTGACTAGTGTACGGGTGTTCCAAGCTTGGCAACTTTAAGACATGTGGACCAACTCCCATGTGGAGAATTTCCCACCCAGCAAGGATTGATTCTCCTAAAATTGGTATTGAGGTTTCAGAATATTGTTTTACACTTCAAAGAAGGAAAAGATGGCAGTTTCCATGTCCTTGTTCACATAAAGGAAAAGAATTGTGTGATGATGTCAGAAAAAGAATGAGTCAGAACATGTTGGGAGACTGAACAAGTCCCTTCAATCTGCTAAGGCAGAGAGAGGAGTGGCTAAAGTTGAGCCGATCAAACTGGTCAGTCCTAGAGGAGATCAACCCTGACTGCTTTTTAGAAGGCCAGATCCTCAAGATGAAACTCATTCTTTTTCTGACATCATCACACAATTCTTTTCCTTCCTTTATGTGAACAAGGACATGGAAACTGCCATCTTTTCCTTCTTTGAAGTGTAAAACAATATTCTGAAACCTCAATACCAATTTTAGGAG